ATATAGAGAGAGAGAGAGAGAGAGAGAGAGAGAGAGAGAGAGAGAGACACAATAAAAGTGATCATCCTCAGCTTCATAATGGCCACTCTAACTGCACAGAAGCTCACTGAGAGAGAGACACCTTGGGTTAGATTACGTTGGGTGTGTAATGTTTATTTTATTTATAAGTTTTTTTTTTAGAATACAATTGTATACAATTATAAAGAGAAACTAGAGTTCAAGAAATCAAGCTGGTAGAAGAAATGGAATTGAAGAATATTATTAATTTATTAAGTCTGATCCCGTAGCCATCACTGATGGGTTGCTTTTATTCCCTCACCCTTTAAAAAAAGATTTTTTTTTATTTCACATGTATGAGTGTTTTGCCTTTATGAATGAAAAATGCACTGTGTATATGCATAGTGCTTACAGAGGTCTGAAGAAGGTGTTGGATCCCCTGGAATTGAGTTGCTGATGGATGTTAACTGCCTATGTAGGTGCTGGTAACAAATCCAGGTTCTCTGCAAGAACAGCAAGTGGTCTTAACCACTGATCCTTTGCTCCAGCCCACTCTTTTCTCTCTCTCCCCCTTCCTTCCCTTTCTCTCCATCTCTCTCTTCTGTGTTTTTCAAGATAAGAATTCTTTGTGTACTGGAACTTTCTCTGTAGACCAGGCTGGCCTAGAACTTAGAGATCTGCCTGCCTCTGCCTCTGCCTCTGGAATGCTGGGATTAAAGATGTGCACCACTGCTAGGCTCTTTTATTTCTTTTTTCTTTTTTTTTCCTCTGGTTTTTCTTTAAAGATTTTATTTATTATGTATGCAACATTCTGTTTCCATGTATATCTGCACACCAGAAGAGGGCACCAGATCTCATAACAGATGGTTGTGAACCACAATGTGGTTGCTGGGAATTGAACTCAGGACCTCTGGAAGAGCAGTTAGTGCTCTTAACCTCTGAGCCATCTCTCCAGCCCTCTTTTATTTCTTAATAAGAAAGAAATGATAGAAATTGGGGTGGGTTTCATAATTAAGAAGAAATGAGAGAAAAAGGAATGGATTTTAACTTAGTTACTTTTTATTAAAATTTTTGATATTGGAAACAAATCTAATGCCTTGCACATGCTAGGTAAATGCTCTACCACTGAGTTAGATTCCATGCCCCTTGATTTAATTTTAAAAGAGAAATAAAAAGAGTTTTAGATAAATTAGATAGGACTTTGTGTAGCATTTGGCTTCTACTTTCCCAACTTTACAGACTCTGCCACAAGTCATTTGTGACAGAAGTCCACATACAGATCATAATTTGCATAACACCAATTATATCAGAGAACAATCAAACCAGCAAAGAAGTCAACACTGGCCTGGTCTTTCCAGTGAGGAGGAAAAGACAGAACAGTCCAGATCAGGAGGAGTGCTCTTTCAGTCCCCAAGGACTGCACTCCTGAGCTTCTCCAGCTCCTTCCCAGCAGACACTGCCTTCCAGAGCCTTTTGAAATTTAACTATAAAGAACAGAAAATGAACTTAGTAGTTCTTACCTGGTTTTAAAAGAACTACAACTGTGCATTTATATTACTATTTTTTAAACTTTTTGTAAACTAGGGAGCAGAGAGCTGCAGCAGAGAAGAATGGATAATAAGGTGTTGAAAACAGTGGCCAATTAGTTTTTTTTTTTTTTGCAACCAATTTTATAAACTAAGGAAGAGCTGGGCTGTGAGAATTAAACCACAAAAAAGATGGGCTAAAAAATAATGATGATCAATTATGCAAACACATACATACCACCGCCAAAAAACTGTAAAACTGTGGGGTGATTGTGAAACCCTGAACACTGGTTCATAATTTATGTGAATGCATTACTCTGAAACTTATTTGACTTTCCCATAAATACATTGTGAACTCAAGGATAATATTCTTAGTTTACCGTTCATCATATTCAGGGGGCATTTCAGGAGTTTAATTTCCTTTAAAAAGCAACAAACAAACAGAAAAAAAAAAAAAAAAAACACCAAAAAGGCAGTAACTCTCTCTCACTGCCCTTGTGCTGCTCTCAGATTTCACCCAATTTCTAAACAGAGTCTTCGAAAGCTGCAACCTAGCGTGGAGGAGCTGTGGATGCCTCAAAGAAGCCTTCTTTTCTGCTCTATTCTCCATGTATTATTAATTTGTATTTCTATTTAACTCCAGCTATTCGCTCATCTCTGCCAGACACCAAGCCTTTTCCAGCGGGGAGGAGAGGAGACAGAGTTGCTATTCTTAGGCATCCCTGTGTGTAATGAGGCTGGAGAAAATGAAATAACATCACTTGGCTTCTTTAAAAAAATGACAGAGATGGTTTGGAGTGGATAATTCAGGGCTGGTTAACACGACCTTTCCCCTCAAGAAGGTAAAACAGCACAGATACATTTCTGAAGTACTTAATTAAGCCTTTAGCACTGAGTGTGGGAAAATCACAGACCTATAAAGGAAGGCCCCTGGTTCCAAGCAAGAGTCAGTTTTCTCTGCAGTCCTTGTCACCTCTCATTTACTGCATTGCTCTGACAATATTTCATACCTTCATGAGGCTTTTACAGAAGCTATCAATGGGGACAGGGAGGTGAGCAACACAGAAAACAGGGGCAAAGCAGGTTCTTCCGAGTCGTTGCTTTCTTTCAATTTTCCATGAGAGGGTGAGGTAGCATTTTGAGATGTTTGTATCAAAGCCTGAGAAGTCAATAGCCTGACACAGCAAGAGGAAAGCTGTGAAAACTGCCACTGCTCACTCACTCTTCCAAAGGGTGAGTGCAACTCAGTCATAATGGAAGTTCTTTAAGGTCCCTCCTCCAAACCTCTTCCGATCAGGAAAGCCTGGAATCTGTGGGCAAGAAAGCATCCTGTTATGTTCTAGGCAGAAAGAGTCAAATGTTAAAACTGAACTGTTTCCTGTTTCAGGTTCCTGTGTGCTAGCCTGTTGTTGATTATAAAACCAGCTCTCTAAGATTTCACTCAGAAAACTGTAGAATGATAAATAATAAAAAGAAGCTCTACAAATATGGAAAACATTTGCCAATAAATTGGTGGCAGTGTCATGTGGAGCCACACAGGACAAATCTCCTAAAATCATCAACTGGACTTTTATACAAAGTGTCTGTACTGTGGAAGACTCTAGACAAAAACTTTTGAAAATTGAAGCAAATTATCTTCTTTCCTCATGTTACTGTATCACCTTGTCCCTGAATTCTTCTTGTATTGCACATTCTTATTTCACCTTTGTCTAGGTTTTCTCCTTTTGTATTCAAGAGGACAGAGATAGTAAGTTGTCTGTACCTACAAAGAGTTTCTTCCAACTTAAAAAAAAATCCCCTCTGGGAAAAAAAAATTGGAAACCATTTCTTTCAAATTTAAGAATCCATTTTATTAAGAAAAGATAGATACCAACCTGATTACCTTCTCTACAAAAGTACCTCTTCTCTATGACCTGTGACAGACAAGCAAAGACTTTAGGGCTTAACATATTTACCTGGAAAAGGTGACTAATTATAATGTTCATTAATGTAACTATAGAAAATACTGCCAAATTAGAAACCTTTTCAACAGTTATAGACATTTAATAGAGTGAGCTAAAAATCTGATGCTGGGGTTAAGAGGAATGGCTCAGCAGTTGAACATTTGTTGCTTTTTTTTTCCCCCTGGTTTTTTTCGAGACAGGGTTTCTCTGTGTAGCTTTAGAGCCTATTCTAGCACTCGTTCTGGAGAGAGCATTTGTTGCTTTTTGAGAGGACTGGAATTCAGTTCCTACTACCCACACTGGGCAGTTCACAACCATCTGCAACCAGCTTCAGGGAATCACACAGCATCTTTGGGCTTTTACAGGCACTTACATACATGTGGCATGCACTCAAACACACACATACACACACATACATACAAACACACACACAGACACACACATACAGACATAAACAAACATACACATACAGACACACATCTACACATACAAACATACACAGACAGACACACACACACACATCTTTAAAATCTGGTGTTAATGGGATCGAAACTGTGAGATTATTTCCACTAATGCCTACTGATTCCAAAAGGAAGGAATGATATACCAAACAACCAATGAGCAGGATACAGTGGCACACCCTATAACTGAAACTCAGTCCCAACACTAAGGAAACAGAGGAAGGAGGATCAGGAGTTCAAGCCTGTACAACTTGGTGAGTTTCAGACCAGTCTTGGTTATGTAGTAAGACCCTGCCTCAAAAACAAAACAAAACAAAACTCACAAATAAATAGCACATTAAAATGCATAATGTCCCAAAAGGTTACTAGAATATGGCAGCAATTGGGCCATGTTTCCTAGCAGTCAGCTCCAAAGGCTCCATAAGACAATGCAAACCACTACAGCAGTGCAGCTATCCTCAAGAGGGGTGTGTGTGAGGCAGTGAGGAATTCTGTGTGTCCTGCAAGTGGACGACGGTCAGTGAGCTTTCCTTATGGGCTTCATTGGCATCCTTATTCAGTAGTTTCAGAGCTCGCTGAGTTTGTCGGCAGGGGGAACAGGCTGAAGCAGTGGATATATCTTCGTAAAACATTGCAGCTGGTGAAAAGCTCTCACAAAACATGTTCTAATGCAGTGGGTGTGAGAAGCATGCTTTCAGGTGATGGAGAGTATTATATAAGATACTAATTCCATCTGTCCTGGAGGTGCGGCTGTGATTACAGATTAGGTGCATGCAGACTAAGACATTCCCATCTGGAGTGATGATGCTGAGGCTGCTGACTGAGAGCACAGCCTGTCCTTTCAGGCCTGGGATAGCTAGCTCACAATACACAAAAATACAAACTATTCAGGCTCTTTCTCTCTTGGAGACTATGTCTGGCTTAGTAGTTAAGCCACAACAGACCCAAGGCAAAGATGTATCTATCAGCCTTTGAGGCAGAAAAGCTGGTTTCTGGTTAGTAATACCTTGAAACACCAAGTCCCAAGCACCCAAAGGACTGAGTCTTTCCCTGTTTTCAGTAGGACAGGAACATCTTATTCTGGAGTAAAATTACTACCAGCTGAGAGAATCTGGAGGACTTAGACCCCTCTGGTAGAAGCCTTGGCATTCTGGAAGGTCTAATCCACAGAAAAAGGGCAAACTGTATTGCCAGGTGTTTGGGTTCATATCCAGTACATGTTGTGCAAACCAGGCTATCTCCTTACTGATGGACTCTATGAGACCTAGACAACAAAGGTAGCTTTCTTTTTTGCTGAGAATTCTTCACTCCCAACTTACAAGGTCCTCTCTTAAATCCAACCAAAGTACTATCTATCTATCTATCTATCTATCTATCTATCTATCTATCTATCTATCTATCCATTATAATTATTAATAAAGCATTTTTGAGAGCTTAGGTCATGACAGTCTAAAATCCATTATTTCTCTAGGATGGGACTTATAGTTTTTAATCTTAAAAAAACACACACACACACTTAAAACAAGCTGGGCAGTGGTGTCACACACCTTTAATCCCAGCACTTGGAAGGCAGAGACAGGCGGATCTCTGAGTTCGTGGCCAGCCTGGTCTACACATCAAGTTCCGGACAGCCATGGCTACCCTATCTCAATAAGCCAAATCAAACCAAACCAAAACAAAACATCTAAAAGTATAAAATGAGACCTTTCCTGACCAAACCCATATCTACAGAATATTATACTTAGGGACAGGACTTTGTATTAGATGGGGACTTAGATCTAGATAAGGCAAACACTGTACATTTTAGGTTTGAAAACAATATAGAGAGAAATAGAATTCCTTGCACCACTTCCCCCCCAACATGTTACTCTGGGCAGCCCAGGGCAGTGAACAGAAGCTGTCAATCTTCTAGTCCCCAGCTTGAAGGGTTGGCTACCTGAGAACTGTGAGAATCAGTAGTCTGTGTACATCTGTACCTTTTGCCACACCCCAGTTAATAAGTTGTGAGTGAGATAAAATTTCCGTGTTGGTCACATAGGGGATTGAACCTCATGGTAACATACTGAAAACAGGGACAAATAATAGAGACTTGAACAGTTAAAAGAAAAAGGACCTTATGGAAGATAAGAAGGGGAGTGTCTTTCTTAAATTTTAAAACTTATTTTATTTTTATTTATATGTGTATGTGTTGTGTGTCAGAAGTGGGTATTGGATCTGCTGGTGCTGGAGTTACAGGTGGTTATGAACAGCCAGATGTGGGTTCTGGGACCTGAATCTGGGTCCTCTGCAGGAGTAACAACTGCTCTTAACCACTGAGCAGTTTCTCCAGCACTCAAGTGTTTTTCTTAAGAAACCACACTTAAAATAGATCTAAAACAGAAATAAATCATTTTCAGTAATGCAGAAATTGGAAATCAGCACTGTGCACTGTGCAAGGCAGCTTCGTAACCCTCAGAGGAGATGAATAGTGTTCTAACTTACCAGTGAGCTGAGCCACACAGCATTCTCACTGTAGCTCAGTGCCAGACAGTGCTACACTACGAATGGGATTGCTTCTCATAGGGAAACAATAGGGATTCAAGGAGACAGCTTAACTGCCCAAAATAATAGTAACATTTACATGGACAATATTAATAGCTGTGAGAATAAAGGACTTTAATCTCTGTTCAGTGCTTTTGGGGATATGGAGTAGTGAATAATTACACAAAGAACTGAAAAAAAAGGGTAACTATAAATTGTTCTAAGGAGGACTCTGCTATCTTTTTAAGAACCCTAACTGAATCCAATAGCCTTTACTCTTTGCTTAGAGAATGTTAGTGATGGAATAAGTACGTCAGCAGGCCTTGAGCAATTATTCCAACAGATAAGAGAGATCAAAACAGGTATTCAGGCTGTGAAGTTTGGGCAAAGGAACAAAAGGACACAGCATTCTACAAAGAGTTTAAGCTATCATATGTTAAGTTTAAAAATAACTTAATTGAAGCTATTACCTTATCAAAAAATCTACTGAGCTTGACAGCATTGGAGGAGCCTGCAGCTGAGGACCGTGGGTTTGTGCAATCCTGGAAAACAAAGGCGCACACAGAAAAGCCAGGCGGTGAAGCTCCAGTGCAACTATTCCCATTGTACCATTCTAATAATACTAAATCATCACAACTCATATAAACAACAAGGCAATATTCAGCTTATGATGCACAACCAGGAAAACACCAAAGAAGGTAAAGCCATTTAGTCTTTGCCATTTGGGCAATACTGGAGGATACTGAATCAACGTACTCATCATCAAATAATTCCTGAAGGAAGCAGAATTATTAGCAGTTTATTAGCAAAACAAAGGGACTGATCAGGTGACCTACATATGTTTACTTTGAAAACCAGAAATAGAATCATTACAAACAGGACGCATTTAAGGCCAGGGACTAAGTGCTCAACTAATTAAGTACTGTGTAGGTTGTAAAATAGTTGAAAACATGAAAATAAGATTTAGTAGGCCAGAGAACAAACAGGTGCCAAGGATTTCTCCATTTCTTCATACATATTGCAAAGACATGCAGGTTTTGATAATAATAAGCAAGAGATTTATTATTATTCAGTAAGAGTCTTTAAATAGGAAAACATGAGGACGGGAAGCAATCCTGGACACTAAGTCATCACAACAGCTTGCAAACGCCAGTATTTCACCATCTTTGCCTCAAGAGATGGAGTAGGCTTTGATGTTTACCTCAAATGCCACCAAACTGTGCAGAGACCATTCAGGTTCTTTTGTGAAGGTGTCTTGTACCCATCTGTGGGCCCTCTGTGCCCTTGAGAAAGTTCTGAAATTACTCTTGCTATACAGCCAGGCTCATGTTTCCTTCTAATACATTTAGAAGCAATTTCTTGTTTTGTTCATACACAGCATTTCAAGGATCACACTTTAAACAATGGCCAGAAACTATAATGGTCCTCAACTCAACCCCCACCCACACACACACAAAGAAAAAGGGAGTGGGTAGAAGGGAAAGGGGGAAGCTGGCTGACTATAACAGTTTACAAAGATCATAAAATGCTGGGGAAATCAGGAATCTTGGAAGCCAGTAATCTCTGGAAATGTGCCAACATTTCCAGATTGTGTAACCTGCTTAAGTCATTATGGCTCTAAAGATGGGCTTACTCATTTGTGAAATAGGGACAAATCTACTCAGTTTTGTGAGATTCAATGAGATATTGCATGCCTGTCACACAGCAGACACTGAAATATCAATTTTCTTCATTGCAAGAAAATGCTATCAGATTGATTTTTTTTAAATACGTATTCTAAATGTATCAGTTTTGTTTTTCTCTTTTTTAATTAAATTTTTTCATTTATTTTACATACCAACCAGTTTCCCCTCCCTTCTCTCTTTCCATTCCCTCCTGCCACTTCTTGTCTATCCTCCCCACCCCACTGAATTTTTAAGTACAAACCATTTTTAATATAATATAGATGATCCCACATGTGATTTAAATACCTTGGTATATCACTGTGCACACTGATGTATTAGCAGTAATGTTTGAACACATTTATACCAGCTGGGACAGACAAGAAATCAACCTTAGACCTACATTAGATGTTTTTTGCAAAATGGGTATTGATTACCTCATCATCAGAACATTAGATGATGACTCTAAATAGGAGTCAAAATACAAAAGAAGAAGAAGAAGGAGGAAGAGGAGGAGGAGGAGGAGGAGGAGGAGGAAAGAAAGAGAAAGAGAGAAAGAAAGGAAGAAAGAAAAGAAAAGAAAGACCCTAAATCAAATAGCAAACAAACAAAACAAGTTTGCTATTGGGAGCTAGGCAGTGGTGGCACATCCCTTTGGGAGGCAGAAGCAGGTAGCTCTCTATGAGTTCAAGGCCAGCCTGGTCTGCATAGTGAGTGCCAGGACAGGCTCCAAAGCTACACAAAGAAACCCTGTTTTAAAAAAATTAACCAAAAAAAAAAAAACCCACAAACAAAAACAAAAAACAAACAAACAAAACTGACTGTTGGGCTCCACAATTCAAGATGAGCAAGAAATCTGAAACTCCATGTGTTTTAGGGTAAACATTTTGGAGCTGAAAGAGCCATCAGTCATTGATCATGGCTGAGGGAAAGCCTGAAAATTAATAGCTCTAAATAGCTCATCTGAAGTGGAAAATGACTAAATACTAAATAGACACACATGAGAAAAAGTACCATACACAACAACCCTAGCATCCAAACCCCCCCCCCCCCCAGACAGGGTTTCCCTGTGTAGCTTTGTAGACCAGGCTGGCCTGGAACTCACAGAGATCCACCTGCCTCCCCCTCCTAAGTGCTGGGATTAAAGGCATGCGCCACCACCGCCTGGCACTAGCACCCATTTTTATTCAAATAATTTGCATTTGTATTCACAGAAAGCAATTCTGACTTCATTTCCGATATATGCATGCTAGATTCATACTTCATAGGTTTACGTAAATTCATACAAGAAACTGAGCCAGCACCAATGTTGTCACATTAGTCCCAGGCTGAGGTTTTACAGTTACTTGCTGAATTTCTATTTTGAACTCCCACATTCAGCTGCCCTCTTATACATTAACTCCTTGTGTTCTCATTACCCACTTCCGTATTGTTTCTGCTGTGTTCCTGAAGGATACTCTGACAAACGAAAGGCATGCTATACTTAAACTCTCAGAGATTCTAAGTGCTGAAGTCCTACTGCTTACCTTTTTGTTTTGCTAACAACTGAAGTTGGTCTAGCCTTTGTAAGCTAAGGAGGGATATGCATCTAGCTGGCTGTCACAGAAACCAGCAGGCACTACACAAAGACATATTCGGAAGCACAGTAAAGTTACAATTGGAACAAATTGTGTGTATTTAATGGCAAATTTCCCTTTGAAAATAATGTGCAAATAAAGTAACACCAGCACTGATTCTACAGAGAGAACATATTTATATAATTTATACAGTAGGGATTCTCTGGGATACTGTGGTCCAGCACTGACTACCCAGGATGTTGACATTGAGCATTCCGCAGTGGCAGCTACAAAAAGGGGAATACATTCCACTGCTCACTAAAATACAAAAACAATGGATGGCAGACAGAAGCTGAGTCAGACATGGATGGGGTAGAGGCAGTATTTATAGATGCTGATTCACTTACAGCACTGGCAGAGGCTGTAAGCCAGTGGGAAAGTCTGTGTTTCTCATATACACGGCCCAGCACCACATTTAAGTAGACAAACCATTAGCAGGATACTGCTCCTGTCAGCACTATGGACACAAAGAGATAACCTGAAGGATAGCCATTGAAGACGCTCATAGGCACTGCTGGTAATAACATGCAGCGAGCTTTGGGTAACTGTTGGTACAGATGATTTCACAGTTCTTTTACAGCCAATATTTTAAATCTTAGTTGAAGAATAATCAGGTGAGAATTAGGCTTAACTGTAGCACCCAAGCTCAACAGTCAGAGTGCCTTATTTGGCTTGATTACATGCTATTCTTATCTTCATCTTTAAAACGGAGGTCAGAGAGTCTTGATGTAGAGATGGTATGTGTGACATGATATCGGTAATGCCTTAGTTTAAACAGTATTTGGTGAATAACTGCTTTAAGAGTGCTGGCCATTAGTACTATCAATAATCAACACCTGTAATGAGTGTGCTGACGATGTGGCAATCCTGCTTAAGAATAATGATGACGTGTAACCATCACTGAAGCTGCAGGTCAGGTCTTTTTTTGGGTAATGTGAACTGGTTTATATGAGCTTTGTTTCCTAGCCTCAATAGCCCCCTGTTCTAATTAAACTAGCTATTATAGTGAGGTTCTATGTGCAAACATTTATATAAATTACTCTTCATGATACACTCCTAGTTTATAGTTTGTAATTTTCTCATACATCTGTTTGTGTGCCCTTCAAGATCAATTCTGTGCTGTAAGCTGTTGAGAGGCTTGTTCTTTCTTTTCCCCCCTCCTTTTTGGTTTTTCAAGACAGGGTTTCTCTGTGTAGCCCTGGCTGTCCTGGAACTTGCTCTGTAGGCCAAGCTAGGCCCTAACTCACAGAGATCCTCCTGCCTCTGCCTCCCAAGAGCTGGGATTAAGAGGCTTCTTCAAAAGCAACAATAACCAACATATAGTATCACCTCAATTGATATGATTCTTTTGAATTTGGTATGCTTTTTAAGTTCTCTCAAGAAAGAGTCTATGATTGTACTCTTCACTGAATACAGTCTGAGGATTTCAGTAATCAGTGTGCAAGTTCAAAGGGAAAGAGACCCTCATGTGACAGTCTAGACATGCTGACTCTGATCTACTTTGTGTTTGGTGAGCTTCTGCTTTGAGTGTAAAGCTTCTCTGACTAGAATGTAGTCCAGACACTCATTAGTGAAAACACATACCAAATTAATCTCTTCAGCATTGAAGTCTTCAGCCAAGAAAGCAGTCCTAATTGAAACTTCATGGCGCTTGGTTTCATGAATCTGGTCCAGTTTAGTCCCTATTACCAACAGTGGGATTTGATTATCAGCAAATTGTTCTCGGTCATAATCCCTGTGATAAATAACCATGAAGAGGTGAATAGGATTTACCTTTCTGATGTAGATGTATAGTATTTAAATGCAAGATGCTTACACAATCATAGTGATAATTAATTCCTTCTCATCATCACCTAGAAATCTTTTATCTCCCAATTTCTTCCATGTGCTTATTCATCATCAATCCATCGTCTATTGAATTCCAATTACTTATCTTATTACTCAACATCTGTTCCTGTGTGTCTTTCTAACAGATAACTTGGATCATTGAGGGCCTAATGTGACTTAACTGTCCACAACACTCTGTCTTCAACAGGTAACAGCTTCAAATTTTTTCAATATAGAAGCAGAAAGTGGATTTAAAGCTCAGTGTCCAGAAAACCTGCAGGTACTTCAGGCCCAAATTCCCTAACTTGCATATGTATTCCTAGCTATTAGTGGTTCAAAAAAAACTTTGAATAAAAAGAAGTAGAGAAGCTGCAGGCTAGAGTAAAGAGAACCTAAGTGAGACCACAGCTTTGAATGGGAATGGAAGGAAAACAGCTGAAATGTTAAATGTAATAATAAAGGGCAAAAAAATTAGAACCAAATAATTGTCCTAACATGACAGCCATGAGAGACAAAGGATCGACCCTCAGAATCTTCAGGGACTGAAGGGGGTCTATTATAACTCATTTTATTTCCATTTTACCCAAAGGATTGAGTAGCAATATGAATGATATTTATCATTAGTGAAAGGAACATAAAGTCCATTGTTGTTAATTAATTGTAATTCTATTCACCTTTTAGAAGCAAAGTATATCTGGATTTCTCACACTTATAAGCTCTATTTACAACAGTCAGCAAAATCTGCTTTTGAATAATCAATACTGCATAATCCAATCAATAACACCCACTGGAGCACAGCTTCTCTTCTACCCTAGCCCCTTTCTTTCTTTTTGAGCAATCTAAACTAGGATGGGAGGGAGAGGGTTACTCCATCTCGCCATCCTTCACAATGATCTCACAGAGCCTCAGCTATAATTGCATCTCAGAACACAGGTGGTTTGAACTATGTAACCCACCTCATATAAATACCGCCATCCGCTTTATGTACATCAAAGCCAATAATAGCTGAAGTTTGAGGCCTAAGCACCAGCCCCTCCTTACCTACATGCCTGACTCAGGAGATATAGTTTGAACTGAAAGGTGAATTACTAGAGAAGGAAGTTTTCAGGGTACCTTCCTTCAGGGTAATTTCTTTTCTTATATATTCACAAATTCTCTCATGGACAGATTTTCTATCAAACACCGTCTTTGACACACATTCTCTGCTATTTGAAATCTTATACAATCTCTCGTAGATTACCATGTAAGTACATATACCTTGCTGTCTCATTTTCATTTTTTCAAGAACTACCCTGAACCATAAATGTATGTGATTCATCACTTAAAGTATACTGCATTGATTTTGTTTTTCCTTATTGCCTCTTTCATAAAAATCATCATCCAATTGAAATTAGATCTTGAAATCATTTTAAAATCATTATGTGACAAACTGATGGAGAATTTTATTATGGACAGATATGGCTAGCACTTTTCCCTAAAACCCATATCATTTTATACACACAATAACACTTTGAGAAACAAAAACAATTATGCATCTTTTCAACACTATAACTATCATGAAAAGAAGATTTAAGATCCAAGAAATATACTTAAAAGACATAATAGGGCTTTTGATGTTGCTGTTTTATCCTTTAAAGTGGTGCTAAGGATTGAAACTCGGGCCTCATGCATGCTAGGGAATGGCTCTACTGAGCTACAGCGTCAGGACTCTAAGGAGGAAATGTTTACATAGGCTCATGGATTCAAAGGGAGTAGACCCGTAGATCAACAGCACAGAGTACAGAAGTTGACCTGTACAAATATGGTCAATCGACTTTGTCAAAGGAATGAAGGCGACTCAATGGAGATTGGATACTCTTTAACAACTGATGATGGAACAAGTGACATTCTGATAAGACCAAATTACACATATTATGTGAAATTAGAGCAGATCATAAATCTAATATAAACCCAAAATTATAAAACTTATAGAAAGAACACAGAGAAGAAAATTTGTGTGATCTGAGATTAAGCAAACAGTTCTTAGATATGAGCAAAATCCAGAGTAGAAAAACTTAATTAGATTTCATCAAAATAAACCACTGCCATGAAAGATGCCATTCAGATAATGGAAAGACCATGTATAGGCTAAAATAGAGAACCAATCACACATCTTACAAAGTTTTATTTTGTAAAGTGAATTCTCAGGATTGCAATCACATTTAAAACCAATTGTAAAGTATTTCCAGGCTTACCCATTTGTCACCAGGACTCCAGTTGGAACCAAATCTCTGTTGAGAACTTCCAATGACCATCGATATAAGTTTTGAGATGACTTCTTATTTGTTAAGTCATGTACTAAAATAATACCTAAAATAAACAGGTAAAATGTCAGTATTCATCAGTGCCTCTTACCTTATAATCAACAAGGACAAGCTTAGTAAGTACAAATCTTAGATGGCTTAGAGACCTAGTATTCAAGTATGACTAACAAATTCAGAAAAGTATTTCAAAATGTCCTTTATAAACATTTTCAAGTAACTCACTATAAAGCTTTACCTAATATACTTTTTTTATTTTTTTGATTTTTTGAGACAGGGTTTCCCTGTGTAGTTTTGGAGGCTGTCTTGGAACTAGCTTTTGTAGACCAGGCTGGCTTCGAACTCACAGAGATCAGCCTGCCTCTGCCTCCCAAGTGCTGGGACTAAAGGTGTGAGTCACCACTGCCCAGCTACTAATATACTTTAAAGAGTGTTTTCTTTTCCTTTCCGAAAGACTAACAGAATGTCATAAAATATTCAGAATACCTTTTGATACTCTCATCCAGCAGCCCAAGTGCCAACTTCATGCTTGGAACTACTTACAGAAGCACTTCACCAATGAAGAACATTATTTATTAACAGATCATACTCATTCAAAAATTATACTGTCTCTGCACTGATAAAATATACTAAAATAGCACTTTAATTTTTATAACTGCTATTTTTCCTTAAATAAAAATAAAACCAAACAAAACCAGGGTCTTACTACATAGAGGATACTGACTTGGCTAACTGTGTAGCCCAGCCTGGCCTGGAATTCTTCATACTCCTGTTTCTTCCTCTCAGATATGAGATACAGGTATGTGCCACTTTCAGTTGAATGGCTAATCTTCTTAAATTTTTATTTCTATCTATGTGTATGTCTGTCTGTCCGTGCATACACACATGTGTGCAGGTCCTGTGGAGTAGAAGAGAGCAGTGGATTTCCTGGAGCCGAGACAACAGCTGTGAGCTGACAGGTGGGTGCTGGGAATCAAAGCTGGGTCTTCTCCCAGAGAAGTCAGTGTTCTTTACTGCTGAGCCATCTCTCCAACCCCTCAGTTGTTATTCTTTAACAAACAAAATCTTGTACTGTAGATCTTCTGAATCTCATCAACTCAAGAGTTTAATTTTGTTGTTCTTCGAATTCATTGCTAGCTATGTAAGCTTGCTACTTTAGGAGATTTGGTTGGCCCACTGTAGTGACACATGCCTATAATCCTGCACTTGGTAAACTGAGGCAGGAGAACTTGAGTTTGGGGCCAGCCACGACAACACAGCAAGACCCTGCCTTAAAAGGCAAATGCGGGGAGGGGGAAGGAAAATGGAAGACAAGGAGGGAGGGAGAATGAACTGATTTAGGTAAGAGAATAAGAGTTGCCAGCTAGGAAGCCTGGGCAGTCTATGGGACCTCTAACAGTGGAGCCAGTATTTATCCATAGTGCACAAATGGACTTTGGGAGCCTATTCCCTATGGAGGGATACGATTGAAGCCCAGATACATGGAGGAGGGCCTTAGGCCCTCTCCCAAATGATGTGACAGACTTTGACGAACCCCTGTGGAAGGCCTCACTATCCTTGGGGAGTGGGTCAAGGGTGGGTTGGGGGGTCAATGGGGGGCATGGGAAGATGGGAGGGCGAGGGAATTAGGGATTGATATGTAAAATAAGATTGTTTCTAAAAGAAGAGAAAAAAAGGACTAAGAGTCTACAGCCACACCACTGTGAATATGCCCAATGTTATTTCAATTAGAAGAAGAAACAGGCCACTAGAAGAGAGTAAGAAGACACAGTAAAGTATGAATGTGGGCTGCAGAGATGGCTCAGTGGTTAAGAACACAGACTTTTTTCATTTAGGCTGAAGTGTTAGGGCCAACTGATAGAGGAGTCACACTGAGGTCTGATGAGAATTTATTCTAACTTAAGGGGGCTAGAGAGACACTGCATAGGCTTTCTACTGAGATCAGTAAGTAGCCTGGGCCATCAGAGTAGGAAGAAAGAAAGTGTACTTACTTTCAGATACCGTTCATCTGGAATACCTACAGAGGCCGGGGAATTACTAAGGGTGATGGGGCGGGGGTTTAAAGGGAGATGAGATAGAATGAACTGGCATTAAAGGTTGAAAGGGAAGAATGGAACAGGAAGGTTTAAACTTGGGTTGGGGTGGAGAAGCAGGGTTGAGGGAGCAGTTTGGAGAGGGATAAATATCACTAAAGACCTTTTATAAAAGATATATGGAAAACTACTACTGTTGAGCTTCTAAAATGAATATATTATATACATTACACACATACACATAAAAAAATAAAAATGGAGTAACTTTATAGCAAGGCAACAATGCCCCAGCTAGATACCAGAGGCTAACAAGTTAGACTGTGAAATACAAATTTAAATCCAGAGTTTAAGCACATCAGCTTTCTCACAGTTAAGATAAGCCCAGCATGGCACTTCATTTCAGATAATCAATAGTTGTAGACCATTAAAATATGGCAGAAATGGAAAGCACTTACCATTTACAGAGTTGTAGAACACTGCTCTTGTGCTTTTCACACTGCTGGCACTGCCCACAGAGCCTCCAACATCCCATAATTCTATATAGTAGGTCTTCTCTTCTGGGGTTCCTTCTTTGTAGTCATGAACCTAATGGATTAGTAAAAATAATCATTAAAGCCACCAAACAAACTGGTGAGCACCCTTGTTCAGTTTAAAGCAATGCCATTCCTCTCAGCACCCGCCCTCTGATTACCACCCCCTCTTAGCTTCCATGCTTACTCCTGGCTATTCCAACTCTAATCTTTCACCCCTTTGACCCTATATTTGATGCAAACATCTTTGGACAATTCCCTTCTTATTTTCAAAGCTGTAGCTCCTTCCTCACTAAGCACAAGTCCCATGACCCATTTTTCCACTCTATGTCACTTTCTATCTTTCTTAGCCACATTCATCTGACAAAACCCCAATCTTGGCAACAGCCTCTTCTTCCTCTATTCTGTCCCTGAATTCAGCTTTCTGAATGTGCAGCTCAGAAAACTACATCCTAGCAGACTGAGTTCTTTTCTAATTCAATTGTGCCCTTGGAGTCATGCTCCCATCAATTCTGCGGTCTCCTTTCCTTTCCCTGATGATAATTTTTACACTTTCTTTGTGTCTTTTTGAAATTTCCAGTATCTTTTCTCTAGGCTCAAAAAGAGATGATGTGGTTTCCTAGGCTAGAGTAATAATGAAAGAAGAACTTCTTCTACCTGCCCTTTCTCCCTCCTTGAATGTATGCCCACAGGATTACTTTCTGCTTGCTACTACCTTAGGCTGTCTGTGCCCCTAAGGCTAAGTCTGAATCCTCTGTTCAGTAAATCCCATCCCATTTCATCATGCAAAGATGCAGTCACACCATTCTTCCTGCTCTCTAGCATGGCATTTCCTTCTCTGCTGGATAATTCTCAACAACATATAAATATGCCTCATCTTCTTTCAGCTACTGTGTGGTTTCTCTGTTCATTTTCATAGAAAAGGCCTCCAAAAAGTTACCTATTTTCAGCTCTATTTTTCCTCACTTTTTTAAATGTAAAAGTTTTCTTTTCCTTTTTTGAAAATTTAATACACGAGAACTCTATTTACAACATCTCCATCCTTCCCTCTCCTTTTCTCCAGTTACTATTGTGTCTGCCCTCCAACCCCACAACTCCTTTTTCAGATTCACGACTTCAGTTACTATTGAGTGTGTATGCACGGGTAGGTGTGAGTCTAGTTAGCGATTCTGTATGTAGATATGTTTAGGGTTGACCACTTGGGGTTGGCTGTCCTACCAGGGATTCTCCCTTTCTTAACAGCCATTGATTACCTGTAGCTCTTCATCCAGGGGTGGGGACTTTGTGACATTTCCTCCATCCACATTGGAATGTCAACTGGTAGTGTCTTTATGTAGGTCTTGTTTATATTGTTGAGATTTCATGGTGTAGATTATGATGAAAAGATGCTATACTTTTTCATATATATGAATATAATTTTATTGTTTGGGAGGCACATAGCATGATGCATGTGTGGTGGTTAGAGAACAATTTGTATAAGTCAGTTCTCTACTTTTACAGAGTGGGTTCCAGAGATCAAACTCAGGTCATCAGGCTTGGCAGCAAGCTCTTTACATGCTGTGCAATCTTATTGGCCCTCACATTGCCTTTCTCAAATATTTAGTTTTTATGTGTCCAAGTGTTTTGCCTCCATGTATGTGTGTGTACCATGTACATGCCTGGTACCCAGACGTTAAAAGAGGGCATCAGAGCCCCTAAAATCACATTCTCTTTAGAACTTCTCTTTTTATATGGCCTTCACATGATCTATTAAACTATTTCTGATCAAGATTACCAATTACTAGCCGGTCCGTGGTGGTGCACGCTTTTAATCCCAGCACTCAGGAGGCAGAGGCAGGTGGATCTCTGTGAGTTCGAGGCCAGCCTGGTCTACAAAGCTACACATGAAAAACCCTGTCTTGGGGAAAAAAAAAATAAAGATCACCAATTATCTCCACAACTGCTAATGCCAGTGGTCTAGTGAGTTTCCATCTCATTCCACCATTTAGTCACCCCCTGTGCTTTGCAATCTGTTTTCACTTAGTGTCTGTGACATCGCTATCTGTGGGTTCCTCCCATCTCACTGACTGGTCTTTTTCAGGGTCACTTAGGTTCTCCTTACTTCTCTCACTTCTGTTGCTGTAGCGCCCTATTCTATTTCTTCTCTGTCAATTCCTGCTCTTGGGCAATTTCATCTACTCTTAGGATTTTATGTATGCTGATGAATCAAAATTATGTAAATCTTGGGAATTTTAGACTACTACATTAACCAGGCTAGGAATGTCTAATAGCTACTTCAGAGTTAATCTATCAAAAAACAAAAAACAAAAAACAAAAACAAAAAACAAAAAACAAAACAGGATAACCTTGTCTTCTTTTCAAACCTATTCCTCTATCAATTTTTACAGTCTTAGCAAAAGGCAATCTTTTTGTTGAGATATCTTTCCAACAAATTGAGTCAAAACCTTAGGAGTAAATTTGGACTCTTTCCCCACTACACAATTGTTCTGTCAGCAAATTCTGTCCCTTTGATCACCACCTGAACTATCATCATTTAGGGAGATGTCTCTGTCTACTTTGCCTGAACTAATTAACTAATATGGTCTCTTAGCCAGTTTCCCTACTAGAAGCATTCCTCCACCAATTTGTTTTTCACAAAGTAGTTAGAAGGAATAATTTTAAAATCTAAGTGAGATCATCTCAACCTTATGCTTTCTCAGTCACAATAAATTTCAAGGGATTCCTCATGATTTAAAATTTGGATATACAATAATCAGATGCATGATGATTCAAGGGTAGTAGACATCAGACTTGTCAAAGGAACTTAAAATTTAATATATAGAGCCAGGTGGGTTGTACATCTGTAATCTCAGCACTTGAGAGGTAGAGGCTGGAGGATTATGCATTTGAAGTTGCCCTTGGCTATACTGTGGGACTCTGACTCTCCATATCTCAGTATTCTTTCCCTCCCTTCTAAAAAAAGAAAAATATACATGCTAAGGTAGCAGAATTGGGTTCTTTGGGGAGTGAGGCCTAGGCATATAAGTCTCTAAACGATTCTGCTGTAACTCTCTACTGGAGAACTGCTGATTTTACAGATTTGAACTATTCTGCTATTAGGCTTACAGCTTTGCCGTGAATCAGCCCTGGTATCACCGAGCCTCTGATGAAAGAGATGCATCTGCAAAGCACCTACTGGCTTTAAAATAATGATGACAAAAAAGGCAACTTAGTTGTTTAAAAGATGTCATAAAAATCCACAAGACTTCACATGTTATACTCAACAGGATGCTTTGCGTTTTGCAGTATTCATTTGTTTAGTTCTAAGTCCTTTGGTCAGGAAAGCATTTGAGTACATGTGGTACTCTATAGATAGTCACGCTGGCATTAAGAAGATAAGGAACTGACAAAGACAACAAGATAGGAAATGATGACAGCAAAGTCATAGACATTGGACACTGTTTCAGAAAATGGAAATTAATGTTATATATTGCAACAAAAACCACTATTTTGCTATATGACATAAATAACTGATAACGCACAGCTATGCCCAATCATCAAAACAAAAGAAGGTTAAGAAAGTGTGGAAACAGCTGATATATTTTAGAAAGATTCTAAGTGAAACTATTTAAATAGGGAGCATGTAATCTGGTATGAAAAAGCTTAGCCACCTCCACAAGCCCCTCCTGAACTTTCCTTCCCCCTCACAACCCAAGCCAGGGCAAGTTAGGTTCTCTTCTTCCGTGTTTCTATAACTTTCTCTACAAGCTGTCATCTCACTGCACTGTCTCACTGAACACCCACTATCTCTTCTCTCACACTGGGAGTTTGAGAGAGCAAGGGTCGTGTCCTGTTCATCTTTGAATTTCTAGAAAATAGTGCTATACCTAGAACAAGTTTGCTAAATTAATATACTTATGTCATGTTATCCTTCAAGGTTTTATTATGTTTAGTTTGCTTACTAAATATCTGTTTTTCTTAGGTATAGTTATCAGATGAAATAAATTGGAATAAGAACTATAGATTCTTGGACTGTCCCTGAAGCTTCTGAGACAGGATAAACACCTATATCTTTGTAATACGACTCCTACAGATCATGCCTTCTTAGCCTTGTAATGTACTAGCCTGGTAGCCAGACCACTTTGTGTATACTAAGCCACTCTCATGACTCATCTATACTCTCCTCTACCACAAAATACCTTCCCAAACCAGTTTTTCAAATATCCTTCTAGAATTAGAAGAGGTGTCTTTCTTTCTTCCCAATTTGCTTAATCAATACTCAAGTAAAAGACTCCATATGCAGTGAGTCTTAAGAATTTAAAACTGTAGGTTATAAGAAAGTTAACACTGTACTAAGCATGGCTCTTGACAATTAAGTGGAACCTGCTGTTACATTAAGAGTCTAACAGGACAGGTAGAGTAATGCCTAACTGTAAAAAGCTTTCTTAAAAAAAATTATTTAAATCAAGTCACCAAGGATCTGATACTTAGAGACATTCAAGGGTTTATGGTAATCGGTTGGGCTTTCTCAACAGGAAGCAGGGCTGTATGGGAATCATCAACAATGAGCAACACTCCTCAGTACCACGCCCCTCTCACATGTCTACTAACAACAAATCCCAATTACACATGGGTTCATTTCATTTGAGTGCTTCAGTGTAACTTCTGAAGGGAAATACACTTAATAAAGAAAATGATACGCATCAAGAAAGAACAGACATTAACAAGTTCAATTTAGTAACTGTGCCTATAGAATTACTGCTAGGAAGAAAGGAACAATAGGAGTTCTTAGGAGAGTGTTGACAGAAGAAGAGAAGCAGGACAAACAGAGCAACTAAAAGATGCAATGGGTGTCCTGGACATTTGAATTAATGGGATAGAGGCTACTGTTTTTGTTCTAGGAACTTCTCACTTGCCTTCAGTCAAGCTCATTTCCTCTATCTAAAGATCTTCCCCGTCCTCTACCCATCCTTCCCTTTCTTTCACATCTAACCTTCATGAAAGACCGGCTGCCCGGTCATTCCTTTTGGTTTCTGCCGCTAATATTTAATCACACGTTCAAAGGTTAATGCTACC